ACCATATTTTGTTTTTTCATATTTGTTAAAAACATCATATTTGGGTAAAATATATTTGAATAGGTATTGACCTTTAATTACAGTATATAATATATATTTCTAAATCGAATCATAAATCTTTGATTATAGATGATTGGGTTCCATATACATTTAATTATGGGATGTCATATATGTAGTCAAATACGTTTTGTTATCGTCCCATAGCCGAATTACCCTTAAATAGATATAGAATTATATTACGTGTATTTAATTATTGAGGTTTTTTTTTTTTTTAATTTGGTGCAAGTTTATGGGATGTACTCAAATAATTTTGTTCTCGTTTCGTAGTCAAATTACCCTTTTTGATAGAAAGATAATTTCAAAACTGATATTTTTGGTGTGTTTATATTCAAAAATGCTTTTCTGAATTTTCTATTTTCTAATTAAAAGAATTTTTAGATCATAAACCTTAAAATTCTAAACCTTAAAAAAAAATTAAGATTCTCAATTTGTGTTTTATCAAAACAAAAAAGGATTCTCTATTTGTTTTGCTAGTAGCTCATAAATATTCCTTTTTTTTGTTATATTGGGATCAAAATATCTCATAAGTATTCTCAATCCACTTTCTATTATAAGAGAAGTAGATTTATTAAGTTTGATTAGAAGTTTTAATTTCATTGGTTCAAAAATATGACATGGTTTGTAAAAAAAGATGACATGGCTTAAATTTGAACTAATTAATTAAAACAATAAAACAAAAAAAAATATTTCTACACATCTTTTATTATTTTAATTAAAAGGATTACTGGTGATTTTATTTATTTGCCTTCTTCTTTCGAATAATCTTTTTTTTTATAAAATTTCATTTAGTTGGTTTGTTTTCAAACAAAAAACATTACGATCCATAGCCGCTCGAACCGTCACCGACCACTTTTTCAAAATTCTATTAAAATAAATTTAACTATGTTTCTACACTATGGCAAAGTGATATAAATTGAAGAGTCTCTCGACAAGAGAATGTCCAAAGTGCTACACAGTGACACGTGGGAACATAATAATGTACCAAGTGTGTGCAACTGATGCGTGATGTGTAATTTTCTTCTTAATTAACTATTTGTATGTTTTAAAAAATGTCTGATAATTATGTATATTGACACGGACGGTGACTTTCCCATATTGGTTTGATGACTACAAACAATAATGCAAATAGTTTCATTTGGTTTAAGAATAGCCAAAAACATCAATTAATGGTTTTAGGATTAGTTCGTAGATCTATTGAACTCTTTAAAAGATTTTTATATTTCTGGCTATTTCAATGATTAAATATATAGTATATTTTATAAAATCATAAAAAGTGGAKCTGCAAATAAACAGTTGTTTGTTAAATCAACAAACTGAAATTATAAGAATATTGTTAATAATATTCCGAACATAAATCTATAAAAATCTCTCAAGGATTATGAAATTTATATGGCTATTTCAATGACTAATTATGAAATTGGTTTAAGAATATTATTAAAAATATTTCGAACATAAATCTATAAAAATATTTTAAGGATTATGAAATTTATATGGCTATTTGAAATTTATAAGGATCAAAACAAATGGATTTTAAAATAAGAGTTGGTTTGTTTCCGTAACTTTCATTTATTCCATAACTTCCATTATATTTTATATTATATGTTTTCATAAAATAGAATGTACGATGATATCTTAACAACTACAACTGAAGTAACTGTAGGCATGCATGTGTATATATAATGGAGATTAGTTTATCTATCATATCAACCATTACATACAAATACAATCCATATTTTTCTTTTCAAAGTATCATGTCAAACATAGACAATATCGCCGATCTAAACTCCGATCGAACTAACTGGTGTATATGTGTTAAAATACTGAGTTTTTGGAGACAACCAAATATACATGGTGAATTTCTCGAAATGGTATTAGCTGATGAAAAMGTTAGACRACTACTTTCTACGTCTTAAGTATGTTTCCTGTGATAGTTTAACTAATATATTTGTTTCCTATTTTTATTGTTTAGGGTGATAAGATCCAAACTTATGTTCAAAACACCATTGCAAAAGAATATGAGTTTAGACTAAATGGTGGTTCAAGATGGAAAGTTATCAGAAATTTTGACTTAATTTCTGCAAACAACAATATCATGACAACTTCACACCTTTTCAAAATTAAGTTTAAAAGTGACACTATTGTGTTTGATGCTCCTCCGATGTCAGAGAGCCTTCATTTCAATTTCGCAAATTTTGAAGAAATCATTGACGGCGCAAAGAGATCCATCTTACTTGATTGGTGCGTATCATTGGTTTTGTCATAATATATAGATGATTATTTATCTTATTAGTTTAACTCATTTTTGTGATTTATGATAGATCTAATTGGTGAAGTTGTGACTGTTGGTGTACAACAAGAATCAACTCAGCGTTATTTGGACCACGTATGAGAACCATGCGAATTAAAATGCGTAACAAAAAGTAAGTCAATATTCAAGATAATTAGTCGTTCTTCATTTTTGTTTTAAGTTGAAATTAATGTTGTCGTCAAATAAAATGCAGTGGTGTTCTTTTAGTCTGTTCTCTGTGGGATAATCACGCTAAAGCTTTTGAAAATGCTTGGAATAATATCAGGGAAATAGTTGTGCTAAGGTTTGCACAAATTAAAGAAACAATTACCAAATTAGAAAATCAAATTCATTTTCTTTGACGAGAAATACACCAGGTAGTTCAATTATTTGACAACAATTACAATAAAAGAGTAGTCAAATTTATTATTTCCATACAACAAGAAAATTTGTTTACATATATAACAATAACTATCTTAGTTATGATTTTATTGTTTTACGAAATAAGATACCATCATTAAAAATATTACCTAACAAAAGTTAAGATTTCAATCAACTAATAAAATCTAGGGACAATTACAAAAATACCACTTTTTGTGTGCACATTTGTAAAAATTCCAATTAAGGGTGTCCATTTACAAAAATGTCACTAATTATAGATTTATAAAACATATATCTTAAAATTATAAACACTAAAAAATGTTTTGACACCTAAAATCCTCTAAACATTCAAAACCAAACCCTAATCGAACATAATTAACCCAAACATAAATAATATAAAGAAAAAATAATTTTGAAAAAATAGCATTTTTGTAAAGATTTCAAAAGTGTGGCATTTTTGTAAAGTGGCACTTGAAAAGTAGCATTTTTTGAAATTTCTCTAAAATCTATTTCACACTAACAAAAAAAGTAAATAATAATGCTAGAAATTTCGATGCCTCTATTTTAAATAATGTTTTCAAACAGTTAATTCAAGATTGTTAACTAAATCAGTATAATCGATAATATCTTATTTCACTTTATCTAAAAATATTTGATTACCAAACAAATGATATGTTCACAAATGATTCTCTCGGCATAAAAAATATGCGGTTCGAAGTATATTTATCTGTATAAATTATGGGAAAATTGCAAAAATACCACTTCTTATATGCACATTTACAAAATACCACTTAAGGATGTTGATTTGCAAAAATGCTACTAATTATACATTTTTAAACCCTATATCTTAAAATTCTAAACACTAAAAAATGTTTTGACCTCTTAAACTAAAATCGTTGAGACAGATCTACCTCGAAACTTTTTATTATTCAATGTATCATTGAATTACCTATTTAATACTTTTTTATCATCTTTTACATGCT